AGCCAGAAAATGCACAGCTTCAGCCCCACCACTCAAGCAAGACTCCATCTATACTAGGGGCTCTGTCCTAAGGCCTTGGGGTCCGTGCCCCTACAGCAGTAGTGTAGCTCTGCCCCCATCTCTGCTATTCAAAAAGAAGCTCAAAGCCCTAAGCCTATTTTGTCCCCATCCCAGCCCCTTCACAGCTATCCACATAGCTGCCTGCTTCGCCTGGCCCCCAGTGCAAGGTCGATGCTTCCCAACCCCTGAGCTCAACGGATCCCTGCCTGCCGTTTCATCTCTCCTGCTCCTAAACCCCCTTTGCCATACCTTGTTCACCTTCTAAGATACCTATCACCTCTTGCCCCATAAAGCGGTGTTTCTCACCTGTACCACCAGGGATCTCACTAAATTCAGTGGGCATAGGGGAGGGCTGAGTTTCTGGAGTTCCAATGAGATCCCAGGTGATGCTGATGGCTCTGGTCCATGGGTCCCAAGAGTGTCACGACCCAGGACAGTGGTTCTCCATCTCAACTGCACATTGGAATCACCTGAGCAGGTTACACACCACCGAAGCCTGGGTCCTAACCTGGAGGTGGTGGTTGAAGGGGTGTGGTGTGCAGCCTGGGCACTGGGATTTTTATAGCTCTCTTGGTGGTTCTAATTGCATCCCAGGCTGAGAACCACTGACCTGGATGTAGATCCATGCTCCCACCCACCCCTATACCTCCCTGCCTCCCTGCCCAAGGCAGCTATCCTCACCAGATACTGATCCCTTGATACCGTAACCATGGCTTCCTTGCCAAGCAGACCTCTCTCATCTGCTTCAGTGGAGTCCACTGCTGTCACTGGGAAGAAGGAAGGCCACACAGAATGTGATGTAAATGGCATCCCCTTGAAGTTGAGTAGCAAAGGGGCCTCTGTAAACTGACTGTCACACTGGCTCGGTAGCGACTGGTAGCTGAAGGCCAAGCTCATGGTGGGTGCCCAATTGAGATGGCATAGGAGTGAAAGAGTAGGGCCAGAGCAGTAAGTCTCAATTTTGCAGCTGCCTTGCGATTCCTGGGGTGCTGTGTTGGTTGTGCCAAGGACATTGGCAATACCAGCACATCTGCCCTGAGGGGTAAATGGTTGGTAAGCTACACCCACTGCTGTCCTTCCCCACATCCCAACTCCTGTCTCCTGTCCTTCTGGTGCTGAAGGTATTTGGGGGGCTGAGTAGAATTTGACCAGTTACAGTTTTTATTAAATGTACAATCTGACCATGCCTGGATTGCCCCCCAATTATTTGCAGGCCTCACTCCCTTCAACTTCCTCAAATGTCACTTTCTCAATGAGGCCTACCCTGACCACTTTATTTAAAATGTCAGCTCACCCTTCACCATCCTAATCCCTCCTAATCCATCTCTGGCCTTTTCCCTACAGTGTCTATCTCCTTGTAGCATGCTATAACTTGTTCCATTTACTGTTGGACTCTTCCACTAGTATGCAAACTGCCCAAAGTCGGGGAGTGGGGGGTTCCCTGTTTTGCTCACAGTGCCACCTAGCACCAGGTGGGTGTCCAGCATGCCTTTAAATCCTGCTATCTGCCTGGTCTTCTACCTGGCTTAGATTTCAGAGCCAGGCCAGCCATTGGCTAACTTTAGGCCACAGGTGACAATAGACACCTGTCTGCATCTCAAGTTGGGGGTTGTGCCTCTTGCAGTCCCAGCTGCAAGGGAGCCTGAGGCAGGAGAGTAGTTTAAACCCAGGAATTGGAGATCATCAGCCTGGGCAATACAGAGAGACCCCAGCTCAGAAAAAGAAAGATCTGTCAAAAGAAGAGGGAAGTTGCCAGGCACAGTGGTGCACGCCTGTAATCCCAGCAGCTTGGGAGGCTGAAGCAGGAGGATCATGAGTTCAAAGCCAACCTCTGCAAAAGCAAGGTGCTTAGCAACTCAGTAAGACCCTATCTCTAAATAAAATATAAAATAGGGCTGGGGATGTGGCTCAGTGGTCAAGTGCCCCTGAGTTCAAACCCCCCAAAAAGAAGAGAATCAACCTTTACACATTTTAAACAGCAGCACAGAGCAGCCTTTCCCTCCCACAGCAGTGGGTGAAGATTCAAGTCACGTTGCTGGGGTTTCCTTCATTCCCTTCTCCCTGTGGGCCTCCCCTCTCAGGGTAGAAGGGGCTGTCTCTCTGGGGAGCACCCACACTCATTGGATGCACACAGTACAGGGTGGACAGACATCTGACTGCACCTGTTGACCATGAGGACAAGGCTTCCTGCCCAGAGGAGACACTCCCGGGCACACAGCCTTCACAACTGCCCTTTCTATTTACAGATTGGCTCCAGTTTCAAATGACAATGAAATGGCATCAGTCTTAGGGGCCACCAACATTGTGGTGGGTCTCAGGGAGGATGTGGGGTTGGAGCTGGGTCTCTCCAGGCCCTGGAAAAGACAGCGCCGGCGGCCATGGAGAGGATTCATAGACTGGGGCTGGGAGGAAAGAAAGTTGCAGGGGTGCTGAGGCAGCCGGGAGGCTGGGCGGGTGAGAGGTGTGAAAGATGAAAATAGGGATGAGGGGGGTGGCAGGAATGTCACATGGTGGGAAAAGAAGCAGGGGAGTGAGACAGGTGGGATGGATCAGGAGGTGAGGAGGGCAGTGATGAGAGTCCCAGAGACCTTAACGTTCAAGGGATCTTTGTGTGGCAATTGCTGCTGTGGGCAGCAGCCTTCGGCTTCTGTGGGCCTCCAGCAGGCGGGCGCGGGGATGTCCCTCTGAATGCACAGTGGATGTTTCCCTGTCTGAGTCCCGTCCTCCTGCCCATCTGGGACAGGCGGCCTTCTCACCTGGCTCTTTCTTGTGTCCGAGGCTGCTCCTGCATTTCTCTGACCACATCACAGCCATCCTCACCAGGCTTCCTTGAGATGCTTGGCTCCGAGTTTAGACCTGCAAGATCTCACAAGTAAGGATACAGGATACCTAGTTAAATTTGAATTTGAGATAGACAACAGATAATTTTTTAGTATAATGTATCCTCTGTAATGTTTGGGACATACTAGGATATTGCTCATTATTTATCTGAAATTTGAATTTCACTGGATGGCCTGTGTTTGATCTGGCAACCCTGCTGAGTTCCCTGAGGTTTCTTTGTGTGGGGCCTGCCTGGTAGCCTCTAGCTTGTGGGTTGGCCCTGGGTGCCTACAAAAAAATGGAAAGGTGCCTCTGTGGTGCTCTGAAATCCATCTGAAGGGGCACTTGAGGCATCCACGGCCTTCACAATCTGCCCCCACTGAGCTTTCTCCCCATTTTCCACTTATTCCTCAAGAGAAGCCATCTCTTCTGACCTGGCTAGTCTCCTCATCCCTTGCCCCATGCTCTTGGGCCATATGGAGGTCCACATCAACCTCCCCCATGTCCAAAACAACCTCCTTGCCTTCCTCCATCACCTGTCGAAATCCTCCTCTCTCTCTTTCTGGGACTGGCTTCCCAAGACTGGGGACCAAACCCCAGACTCTGTATCCCTCACAGAGCCGAGGACCAGCCTGCCATTACCAAAGTGTTAGAAAATATCTAGGAAGGCTTGAGTGAGCCCAGTTTCTTGAAGAGCGCTGGGCTCTGTCCTTCAAGCTTTCCCTGGATGGATTGTGAGGAAGAACTCTCCACCTGGAAGCATTCGCAACGTTCCTTCAGAGAGAAGGGAGAACCTCAAAGCAAGCTGCCTTCCCGGCCCAGTGATACCCTCGCGATCTTCAGGAGGTGGGCACTGGCCCCCTGGCAGCAGGCTGCAGCAGATTGGCTCTCTCTGGATGGGAAGGACAGGGGGTGACGGGCCATCAGATACTTTACCACCATCATCATCATCATCACCACCACCACCACCACGCCATTTCAGCTACATTGTGTTTAACAGGTCAGATACATTCTCTCATTTAGCTTTCAATAACCCTATGAAACCCCTATTTTGCAAACCAAAAGCAGAGTCTCAGAGTGGCCCAGTACCCTCACATATGGCCCCCAAGTGGCCAAAGGCAGAGCCAGAAGTAAGGACTCCCCTGCTGGCACTGTGCCTCTACAGGATGCCTAGTTCTTCCTTAGCAAGGAAGGGCAGGCAGGTCCAGCCTGTAATCAAACTATGACAGTTGACCTCGGCACAGTCAGCCTGGTGCTCCTTGCCCACCTTAGAGCTGCCCCTCTTGTATTCCTGAGGAAAGAGGATCAAATACCCTAAGGGACCCAGGCAGCTCTGCCTTCTGTGGGTCTCTCCCTACTTCAAACCTACGTGGAAAATAGTCTGTCCTCGTGGCTTCATCTTTCCTGGGACTGTTCACCATCACCTAGTCAAGGGTGCTCCAAAAGATGGTCCACAGAACATGAGTCCCACCAGGCACTCTGTGACAAAAGGATACCCTGGCCCAACAAGCACCGAAATGTCCCACATAGAAAAATATCCATGGAACTTTATTTGGCCCAAATTTTCCCAAACTTACCCAACCATGGAATTCTTTTTTTAAATCAAGTAACAACTTGTAATGTTCTATGGAACTAGTGTTCTGAAGACAACCTGCTTTGAAAAACAGGATGCTAGTTCAAGTCTTTCTTTATATAGCTGAAAAACGGAAAACCAATTTACTAATTCCTTGAGCATTCACTTAATGCAAACTGAGTTTCTCCTAAATGACGAGCTATGTTCTAAGATACACAGACATAGAATAACAACGTGTTTTTGTGTAGCGGTTGCCACATAGGCAGACTGTACATTTAACCCATGGGGTGTGGGTTTCCTACCCATTTTAAAGATGAGGAGACTGAAGCACAGGATGGTGCTGTGAGCTGCCACAGTTAGCATGCAAATCCAGCTCCATCTCTTTATGACCCTACCCAGTGGCCTCTTAAGTAAGATCATATTCATGGTGAAGTCATGCAGAGCCCAGGAGGGGTATGGCTTGGGGTTTGAGGCAGGGCTGTGGCCGGGATCTACCCTTGTCCCCTCCCATTCTCAGCCCCTCCTCTCCCTGCTTTTGTCCCCACAGGTCTAACTGGCTGAAGCCATGCTGTGGGAAGAGAGCAGCCGTATGGCAGGTATTTTTGCTCAGTGCAAGTCTCAACAGTTTCCTGGTAGCCTGTGTAATATTGGTGGTGATTCTCCTGACTCTGGAACTTCTAATAGATATAAAGCTTCTCCAGTGTGAGTAGCCAGAGAGATACATATGCAAATACGTATGATGTCAATATTCACTGTGCATCTGCATCCATCAGGGGTCCCCAACCAGCATGCCACTGCCAAGGCGCTGGCCCGGGGGGCTCATGGGGATTGCCGCTGGGGAGGAAATGTGTCTGGCAGCTTCTCTCTTGGTCAGCAGCATTTGCTCCTCTCTGCCCTGTGTCCTCTTCAGCCCCCTTCCCCAGCATTCCATGATCAGAAACTGATGAGATAAAAATGTTGGGGACCCCTGTGTGCATTTTTTTTTATCGTTCCCATTTAGAATTTTCCAGGTTGGAGTTTTTTTGTAGTGTAAAGAGAGTCCTCATCTGTGGAGGCATATCACCGTGTGGTAATTAATAATGACAGCAGCTACAATGAGGCTAAGATTCCTGGGGTTTTTATGAAGTTGTAAGTTGGCAGTGTTACTTATATGTAGTGTGATAGTTTTGAAAGAACTTTTCTACACATTTGATCCTAGGACCACCCTGTGAGATGGGCAAGACTGACATGATTCCATTTTATGGCAGAGTACATTAAGAGTTGGATGAGTTAAAAGACTTGCCCTAGGTCAGAGGTAGCAGAAATGGGTCTTCCAGTCACGGGATCACTTTACTGCTTGGCCCGTCCTCCCGCGTAGGTCCTCTTGGGATTTGTCCTAGCTTCACATTTGCTGGAGCCTGATGTGTAGGGCAACAGGAGGCTTGGCTGCTTCCTCTCTGTTCTGGCTGTGGCATCCTGGCTGTCAGGGTGGAAGGCCCACTTCCTACCCAGACCCTTGCTCTCTGCCATTTGGTATACCAGAGGGCCAGGGACCAAGGGTCTTGACTCCCCTGGCCTTGAATGGTTAGGATCCCTTTTCCCTATTTTCCTGATTCAGAAATTGAATCATTGAAGTGCAAATAAAAAAGAGGTGAAATTATTGGCCCCAGAGAAATTTCCTTCCCCTCCATTGACAAAATCCAGGACTGCAGATTCAGTCACCCCGAAACCCATTTGGTTGTTACAGGCTTGTTTTCTCCAGTGCCCTCAATTCCTCTACTGGATCCTCCATCGTCAGGGTCTGTCGAATCTCCCTCCAAGTCACATTAGCCTCCTCTGCTCTCTAAGTGAGGATGACGGCCAGCACAAAATTGCTTTTGTCTGATAAGCCTAGTTGGGTTTTATGCAGCTGGTGGCCCCTTGGTTCCAATTAAAGGATCTTCCAGCGTAAAGTGACCAGCACTGGGTTTACACTCAACCTGTCTTCAATTAAACCATGTTGTAGACTTTCACTCCCACTCATCCATACTGTCTGCTTTTTATGAGATCTGACCATAACGGGATCTTTCTTTCCCTGTGGTGGATTGTCGTTGGGGCCCTCGGCTGCGAGGCATTGAATAGAACTGAGAACTCAGCCGACACTGGAATTTTGCTTAAAATTAAGTATCCAGGAGATTGATTTTGGTGGGGAGATCCAATAGCAGCCCATAAAAGGCATCTTAAATTCCATAAAATGCACAATCAGAGATTTATTGCTCTTCTAAAGCAAACCGTAAAAAAAGGCACAGGAATTCATTTGAGAAATAATGGGGAGAGATTTTATGTTTTCAGAATCATCTGGAGGTCTTTTCAGAGTCACACACGCCTCAGCTTCTTGGTTCCCACTGGTATTCCTGTGGCCGGGGAGGGGAAGGAATCCACAGCATCTCCAGGGCTCAGCTTCTGAGGGTCACCTAGGCCCAAAGCCAGGGGACCCCAGGGTCTCCCACCTGGAACCTGCAGCCTTCTCCCCCTTAGATTCACTCCATGACCTGGTTTTTACACACCCCCAGGAGTCGCAGAACACAGGGAAAGGCTGTAGGTTCCTCTTTGAGGCCAGTCCTCCCCACTGAAGGCACTGGGCCTCTACAGTCAGCTCCAGGGGATTCTGAGCAGCACACCAAGCAGGCCCACTAGGGAGGCAGTGCAGGCCTGTTGGCAGTGGCAGCCCTGCCCTCTCTCTGCTCTGCCTGCTGCCCTAAAATGTCTACATATCTCTTTGAGGCCTGCCTCTGGGAGGAAACCTTCCCACCCTGTCTCTATCAAAACTCACCTGACCCTTGCCACAGCACCCACTTGTGGCCTCACTGACTGGTAAACTAGACCCTGCTAGGGCTCGGAGGCTGGTCCTGGCTTCCTGGACTTTAGAAGACTCCCCCAGAGACAGCGCCTTCACTTCTAGGACTGTTAGCAGACGGTGGAGTTGAAGCCGTCAGTGGCCAACAGCTCCCTGCTCTCACTCCAGAGCCTGGAAGGTGAATGGCACTCTGGCAGCTCCCAGCCCACAGGCTCTGCTATTTTCGTCCCATGTCTAGCTCCTCTTTCAGGCCTCCCTCCTGCCATCTCTCCAAAACATGCTGCTGACGCGACCATCTCTGCCACTCAGAGTTTCAGGGTGATGGTCAGGGGAAGCTGCCTTGAGTCCCGCTAACAGTGCACAGAGCTTTGGGGGTGCACTGTGCTGTGAGCTTCTGAAGCTCATCCAGGCTTGACTGAAGCTGCCCGCACAGGTCCGATAGCCACAGGTGTCTTTGAGAACCCTCTCTGGAGGCTCCTTTCCTGAAGTCAGGCTATGGCAAGAAACCCACAAGGATTGAGCAGGAACTCAGAGAGGTGGCCCATGGGGAGCAAAGAGCCCCGGGGACTGGAGGGAGAATAGCCCACAGCACCATTGGCCACCAGGCTCCCAGACCTCCACCACAGGCACTCCTAAAGCTGCCCTTCTTCTCTGACCCAATTTCAACCAGAGTGGGCCCTGGAGTCCCAGAGGTCCCCCTCGATGCTGTGAAGCCCCCCTACCAATGCACCTAATTCCTTGCTCCTAAAATTGGCCCTTACTATGTTCCTTGCAGTTTCCAGTGCATTCCAGTTTGCCAGCGTCATTCACTGGATCAGTCTGGTCATTCTGTCTGTGTTCTTCTCAGAGGTAGGTAAAAACTTGGGCCCTGACGCCCCTTCCTTAGAGCAACTCCTTACTGGGAAACCAAGCTTTGCTTTTCCACATATTTCTTATATGTCAGGCCCTCTGTTAGCGCTTGAGGCTTCAAAGAGGGACACAATCCAGGCACCTGAATTCTACAGTAGGTGATGGCTCAGGGAGGAGCCAGAGACGCACAGGAGCATCCGCCAACCCAGCCAGGGAGCTTTGGCCTGAGCAGGTGACCCCTGAGTGGAATCTCAGAGCATGAGCAGGGGTTGTCCAGGTGAGGGGTGGGCCTTGTGAAGGTGAGGCTGAGTAGGAAGAGCTGAAGAATTGCATTGGTTGGTGTGGCTGGTAAGGAGCAGGCAGGACGCCACTAAAACTAGAGATGGGAAGCAGCTAGGAAGGCCTCAGTCAGGCTGACCCTAAGGCTGAGGCATGCAGAGGACAGAGGATGCGGTCACAAGGCTGGAAAGTAGACTGGAGCAGGCCCTGCCAGGGGCATAGGGTGTGACTAGGCCAAGGGTTATGTTTCTGAAGTGGTGAATCAGGTCTCCTTGGGGTTTCTGGAGTTAGTGGATAAAAACCATGTCTGAAAAGCTACCTGAAGGCTCCTGGGCCACTGGGTCCAGGAGTAGCCCCCATGTGGGGACTGAAACGCTTAAGAAACTGGGATTCCAGCACATTCTTCTATTTTTACGTGGGGTGAGTGACTCCTCTTTTGAGCAGTTCTCAGGCCATCACAGTGGTACTCTGGCTTGCATTTGGGGGACACTGGCTTGGAGCTGCTACAGGCAGGACCTCCTGGAGGGGCTGAAAGGTTGAAAGCTGTGGGGGGTCCCTGAGGGTCAGGAGAGCATCCTGTGGGAAAATAGCTCCTTCTAATAGAGCCAAGGGCTGGCCACGTCAGCTGGCCCTGTCCCACTCCACCCATGTGTCCCCACCTCTCACCACTGGTACACATCAGCCCACAGAGCCCCAGGAGGGCCTTGTAGTGAAAAGCAGACACGAGTAAGGCTCAGAGCCTTCTCTCTTTCTCTCTCCTCTCTCTCTCTCTCTCTCACACACACACACACACACACACACACACAAACACACACACACAAACACACACACACAAACACACACACACACACACACCTCTTCTACCCTGAAGGCACAGGGCTCTGGGCCTCACAGTACAATGCAGCCTCAGAGGGAGGAGGGTGCAGGGGTGCTATAGGAGAGCCTGGGCTGGGGGACAGAGGAAGAGAGCATTTTGTGGTACTATCAGGGAACCCAGGGAGTCAGGAGTCCAAGGGCCTCCTGTGGGCCAGCTCTGGAGGTCCAGTGGCCCTGATAACTCTCTCCCTAGAAAAGAGGGGAGAGCTGGGCCTTGGGTCTTGAGTACAAAATCCCGAGTCTGGGTGTGGGTTGTGCTGGCTGCACAGCAGAACATTCTCTTCCCCAGGCCTCAGCTCCTGCGACTCGTGGACTTGGCCGGTGAGCCTGGGCCTGAGGCTCAGACTGCGGGAGCAGATCCCAACCCTGTCCTCCTGGGAAGTTTCCCAACCAGCTCACTGTGACCACAGCCCTGGGGGTGCTGCTCCCCGGCTTAGTGCCCCTATGGGGGTTCTGGCCTCCCTGGCCCTCGTCTCTTCTCTCTGAGATTCCCTCCCACAAACACCTGGGCCAGGGCCAGATGGTTCCTTGATGCAAACCTTGGAAAATGTGCCATGTGTCTGTGACTGCCAACAAAAATGTTTAATCAGTTGCTGCGGTTCTTCCCCTCTATCCCTCTGCTTTGGTTTTATTGGCTTTTGCAGAATTTATTACCCAGCGTTAATTTGGCATTCCCTTCCTGTCACTGTCGGAGACGAGCCACCTGAAACAGACAGGGGCCTGTGTGCAGGAATCACAGCCTCAGAGCCCCCCAGCAAGCACCTCCCAGAGTGTGGACAGGGCTGGGGCTCCCACAGGCTCTGCGGGGGGAGCCAGGCCAACAGAGGCTGGTCCCTGCCTTGGTCTTTGTTGAAGTTGGTAAAGGTGGACTGAAGCCAGTAACAGAGCAGCAGGGCTGCCTGCCTCCCCCAGAGCACCCTGCCCAGTACGGATGAAGAGGCTGGTGCATGGTGGCCTCACTTGGGGACAGCCTATCTAACCGATACAGCCTCACAGAGCACTGCAGGGAACCAAGTTTCAGAACTTTGGTGCTGGTATGGTCAGAGGGGTCCCTGCCCCGGGTTGGGAAATACATGAGGCTGTTTGTGCTCACAATGACTGGGGTCCTTGAATAGGAAGGGCTGGGGGAGCCCAATGTCCCTCAGCAGCCCATCAGGCCTGCATGTTTGCCTGTCAAAAATGTCAGTAGGGTCCTTACAAAAACCCCACACAGATCAGGAAAGCAGCCTTGAGTTTCATGGCCAGTTATGGCCAAAACTGGACCCAAGACTCTAGTATTTCACCTGGTCTCACACCACTGACTTCCTCTGTGGGCCTTGGTGCCAGCAGGTTGTGAGGGGACTAGGAATCTGGGGTAAAGTCCAAGGCCAGGAATTAAGAAAGAAAAAGTCTGACCTAGCAAGACCTCAGACCAAAACCCAAGAACAACCAGCCCTCCTCCTTCCTCTGGGAGAAATGAACGTCACCCTTCAGATCTGGCCCCTTCTTTCTCTGGCAGGACCCAGGGGTAGAGCTGAGAGCCAAGGGTGAAGGGTCACTCCAGGCCTTCTGGGCCTAGTGAGTGGGCTGTACTGCACATGCAAATTCCCAGAAGTCTGCACTCTAAGACTCCTGTTCCCTGGAGCCCTTTGCCTGGTCCTCTTGCCTCAGCCGAGCCTCGGACAGCCCTGTAAAGGAGGGCAGAGCATGTTACAGATTGGGAAGCTGAAGGCTGGAGAGGAGTGCAAACCTGCCAAGGGCATGCAGGAATGCCGTGCAGAGCCAGATGCAGACCTGTGTTGGGCAAGCTGTCCACTGCCCTGCCAGAGGACAGAGCTAGCCCCAGAATGGAGGTGAGAGGCTGGTTTGGGCTCAGTTGGAGGACATCTGTTCAAACAGTCCACACAGTTGAACAGTAAGATAGGTACTTCTCAAGGGAGTGAAATGGTGCTCAATCAGGAAGGCCAGGGGTGGGGGTAGTCTTACTAAGGGCCCACGGTGAGAGTGGGTACCCACAGGCTTTCTGGGCCCTGCTCCACTAGGTCAGATGGGGTCACTGCCCTTCCCTGTGTCCCTGCAGCACCAAGAACAAGCAGAGCCTTTGAAATCCAATGGAGAATTGTGCAAAAGATTTTTCCAAAGCACAGCCCCGCCCTTGGCCAAGACTTGGCCCAGCTGGCCACTTGGAACCAGGAGGCCTCACTCTTCCTGAGATTGCACACATTCTTAGGACCTCTTGACTAAGGCCAGGCCACCCCACAGCAGTGCAGGCCATGGGGTGTTGGCCCCATCTTAGGGTATGGAAAGGCCTGAGCAGCCCCAGCTTTTTCCCCTGGGAGAGGACAAAGCTGACCCATGGCTGACCTTCTAGATAGGAGCCTCAAGGTGGTGGCAGTGGTGGAAGCAGTGACAGTGGGTTGGCTGCTGCTGCTGCTACTTCTCTTCCCCTTCCCATACCTGCTTCCCTCCCCCTGCTCCCCCTCCGCCTCCTTCACAGGTGGGATTCCCACAGCATAACCCTTTCTACATTCAGTGCATACAGCTGTCCTGCAACCATCATCTCTGTCTAGTTCCAAAGCATCTTCACCACCACCAAAGGAGATTCTTAGTCACTAGGCAGCCACTCCCTGTGCCCTCTCTACCCCGGCCGCTGTCAACCACTCATCTGCTTTCTGTCTCTGGAAACTTAACTATTCTGGAACCATACACTATGTGGCCTTTTGTGTCTGGCTTCAGTCACTTTAGCATAATGTGGTTTGTTCCCACCCTAGCAAGGGTTAGTACTTTGGTGATGTCTGAATGATATTCCATTGTATGGACGGACCACATTTGTTTATCTGGTCATCAACCCATCAAATCTTCTCTTCACATCAGCTATTTGAGCCACCTCCTTCTCTCCACAGCAGCCTCTTAGGGTTGTCCCAGGGCTGCACTGGAGTCACACAGGAGCTTGGCCTTTGGGCTACCTGTACCATTTGCCAAGAGACATCCATTGCCAAACCAAACAGCAAGGTCCTTATCTTTCAGCATCAGCAGCCACCCCAAGATTCTGGATACTAGGGGTCCTTCTCCTGCCTATGCATTCTCCAGAAGGGCTCTGGTGAGCTTCCATCCCTGGCTGAGAGGGGAGAGGGGGATGCTGTGCTCCAAGCTCTGAGAGATGAAGGATGAATTCATTCCCTTTAGTATCCAACTGAAGGAGCCAGTCACCCTGTGACCTTGAATAAGTCACTGTCCTGGTCTGTTCCTCGCTTTTCCAGTATCGAAGTGAGAAAACCCAACCTCATGTCTTCTTGACCCTCTGGAAGGTGGGGCCAGTGGTCAGGCTTCAGGGAAGAGGTTTTCTTTTCTGTCTCACCCTCTCCAATGTTGAGAATGGTGCAGGGAAGTCAGGGTTCCAAGCTTGCTGCTCACTAGCTATGAGAGCCCCTGCACAGCCCCTCCAGCCCTGTCTGTGGGGTACTGGACCAGAGGGTAAAACATTGGAAAGGACTTCTAGCCTCACTTGGCCATCCACAAAATAAACAGTAGCTGCCACCTGTTAGGACAAGCCCAGCAGGATTGATAATGCCTGAAATGGCTCTGCCAGAAGAGGATGTGGGTCGGGACCTCAAGCAGCCAACGTTTGTTCTCTTAGAGTCAGACCTCATTCTAGAAGATTCGCTCCTCCTCCCCAGACCTCAGACTCTGCCCTGCCCTGAGTGGGAGGGCACTGGAGCAAACCTTCAGAATTCCTCCACAGGGCCTGTGCGATGCTTGGTTGGAGATTTTTTTTTTTTTTTTTTTTTTTTTTTGGTACTGGGGATTGAACTCAGGGACACTCGACCACTGAGCCACATCCCCAGCCCTATTTTGTATTTTATTTA